ATTGAAATAAGTGTATATATATACAAGTACATCAAACTTATATCAAAAATTATGGAATATCCTCCTTGATATTTTTTTCAGAAAGCCCTAGTGATGGACAACTCGAAAAAAATATCAGGGATGATATCTGATAATTTTTGATATACTCTTGGTAATACTTGTATATATGCACAAAAGCGACAAGTTTATGCAAACCGCATATATGTATGTATAAATTTACGTTATCCAATGTAAAACACATCTAAAAATACGTACTCGATGAGTACATGAGTCTACTGCTAATACATACACAGCAACATTTTTGAATCATGTATGCGTAGAATATTCACCTGCAGGTATTCAGGGCTTAATATTCTGCTTACAGAGCTCAGTTATCCCTTTAAAGGGCTCAAATATTGTCACTTTAAAAATCGGAGTCAGTTTCACATCGCATTGGTCATTCTGTAAAAATCGTTCATGAAGCGACATCTGTTTATAGTGCAGTTTTCGTATGACTGTGAAAAATTCACGGCACGAACACGGCCATGACACGGCAAGGGATACGCCAGACCAATCACATTGCACGAGAATTTACTCTCCATCCAATCAAACACCCGGAACACGGCATAAACACGGCGCGGACACGGTCACGCCAAGGTCACGGCAATGCCAAACCAATCATATTGCGTGTGAAAAAAAATCAGCCAATTAAAATTCTAGAAAACATCACTGTCACGGCACGGCTCGCATACGGCACTGAGCTTTTCACAGTCATACGAAAACTGCTCTAACATGCTTCGTGTAGTACAAACACGCCAATTCAGTGGTCGTTTTTTTGCGATAAATTCTTTCTAGATATTGCAAATACCTGAAAGCACTTTAATTAAACAACACTTGACACATTCGATGAAACCTGTGTGCCTTAAGCTTGTTCCAAAAAAAAAAAAACCAGATAAAATTCACTACAAAAATGTTTGCTATTACCTTGAGAAATCATTGAATCCTACCGAATCATGATTTGATACGTTGGTCAAATGTTTTCCAGTATCGATAAAAAGTCGTAAGCAGTCGCAAACAGAGCAGCCAAGTTGACCAGCCAGTACACGGGACTTCGGATAACATCGGCTATCCTTGCCATGCACCACTAGCTGTGCACGTGGGATCCGAAAGTAATCCGAAGTCTTACAACCCTTACACCGGGATGAACTTTATGTCAGTTATTTCGTATGTCATTGAATATTTTTCGCTAGTTAAACAGGATATGAAGTATATCTGGGTAAACTCGATGGCATAGTGTCTACTGCTTATTGATATGCAGTAGACATAAAAAGCAATTAAATTTGCTGGTAGTTGGCGAGATATGTAAAACACCAAAGCGTAATGGCCGCCGTATCAGTAAAAAAGGTCTATTCAGAAAGATCTTCAATATCTGGTCCGTACAAAACTACTGAGTACAAAAACATTCGAAATAAAAACTTTATTCCAAAAGCGTTATTTGCTTTTCATTCTATTGATATTGCTAATATTCCTGCAAAAGATTTAATTGATTTTTATATTTCTTGTATTCAATCAGTTCTTTTATATACTTGCCAAGTATTCCATTTCAGTGTACCTGAGTATCTTAGTTTATCTTTGGAACGTATCCAAAAGCGCGCAATGCGTATTATTTATGGTTATGATCTCTCCTACAAACAATCTCTTTCTCTTGCTAAATTAACAACTTTAAAACAACGTAGATCTAAACTATGTGCCTCCTTTTTCAAGAAAATAGTCTCTGACCCTAGTTGTAGTTTGTATAAGTTATTGCCTCTTAATGCAAGCAGTTCCACCATTTGCCTTCGCCGTAAAAGAGAGTTCTGTCTTCCAGTTTGCAAAACAAATCGTTTCAAGAACTGCTTTATAAAACGCCAGTATTAGCCATTTCACAAGTTGAATTGTTTGACCTAGCCCTATATATTTTGATATGAATTTATAATTATGGATTAACTAGTCCTTTTTTCACTATCATATATCATAGTATATTATCTGTAGGCTGTTGGTGTGGTAGAGGGTTTCTCAGACGCACGTCCCGGCAGGCTTGGAGAGAAGTTTGCTGTTAGTTTTCTCTGGGCTTTTCGGAGTATGGGTGCGTTTAGGGAAGCAAATCACTTCTTAATCTTTAATTCAAATTTGCTATTATAATTAATCATTATTGAAATCTTAGCAATTCAGTTTTTCAGCTGCAAGTGAGGTGTTTAATAAATCTATCTACCTATCTATCTATCTTTAGATTCATGGATGGCCCTAGTGTAACCTAATAATAGATAGCATTTTTCGTACTCTTAAAAACGTACTATTTYAATCCAAATACAGTGGATTGACAGATATTGATGCTGTTTCTCCTCCCTAGGAGTCACTCTTTCATTGCTTTCGTTTTCAAATTTTACGAACTTCACAAACCTAGCTATGTTACATTAGGGAACATGGTCGTGGATTCTGCGGTTTCTTAATCGATCAAAAATCCAATATGATAGGAAATCAGGTTAGATCATGCTTAACACTGTCTACTGATGCCCCCAAACATCCACTCAGTATTTAAGTTTCATTAGGAAATCGGGACGAAAATTTCAAGTAAGTTCGTATGAACTTCACTAGGTCCTAGGGTTTGAAGAAATTT